TTCCTTCAAAATACATCTGGCATCCCTCCGTTTCTCACCACCTCCATTGCCTCCACCTGGTCCTAATCTTCATGATCTCTCGCCTGGATTTCTTCATTGGCTCCTTCCTGCTCTGGCGGCTCCCATCCTCAGCCCACTGTGGTTTATTCACCACACTGAAGCCAGATTCAGCCTTCTAAAATGTAAGGCACGCTGTATCTCTGCAATGGCTTTCCACCTCACTCACTGTCCTACAAGATTCCACCAACCTCTGGCCTCCACTTCACTTCTTCCGTCTTCACCCCGGCACCAGCCTCCTTCCTCTGGAAGCCAGAACTTTGCACTTACTGTTCCCTCCGGCTGGAAGGCTCTCCTTCAAGTCTGTTCAAATGCCCTCTTTTTAGCCTCTCCTGAGGCTTCACCTGACCACCCTACTTAAAAAATCAGGGTTTCTGGGCTTCCCGGGTGGCGCAGTGGTTGAGAGTCCGCCTGCTCATGCAGGCGGCGCAGGTTCGTGCCCCGGTCTGGGAGGATCCCGCGTGCCGCGGAGCGGCTGGGCCCGTGAGCCATGGCCGCTGAGCCTGCGCGTCCGGAGCCTGTGCTCCGCAGCGGGAGAGGCCATGGCAGTGAGAGGCCCGCATACCACACACACACAAAAAAAACAAAAACAAAAATCAGGGTTTCCCTGGTGGCGCAGTGGTTGAGAGTCCGCCTGCCGATGCAGGGGACACGGGTTCGTGCTCCGGTCCGGGAGGATCCCACGTGCCGCGGAGCGGCTGGGCCCGTGGGCCATGGCTGCTGCGCCTGCGCATCCGGAGCCTGCGCTCCGCAGCGGGAGAGGCCACGGCAGTGACAGGCCCGCGTACCGCAAAAAAAAAACACACAAAAATAAATAAAAATAAATAAATAAGAAATCACATCCTCCTTCTCCTCCTAATCCCTCTTCCCTCTCTGCTGTTTTCCCCACAGCACTTGTCACCTCCTAACACAGCACGGAATTTACACTTTATGATATCTGTTCGTTTTTGTCTCTCTCACCCTACTAGGCTATAAGCTCCGAGGGAAGAATCTTTCTTTTTCATTTACTGATGATTTTCAAATACCTACAACAATGCCTACAACATAGTAGGCTCTTGTAAATATTTGTTGAATAAATAACGAATGAATCAATAATAATAAGGTTCCTGCCTCAAAGGGCCCTTGTGAAACTTACACGAAATAATTAATTTGACTTGCTTTGCAAAGGAAAGGAATTATATAATGAGTACCCACTGGTACTAGATGTTCTGCAAAACAGTTACATGGTTTATCTCGTTTATTCTTCACTATGAATCTCATTCATTCATTCAGTGAGTAATTGTTGTGCACCTACTATGCACTAGGCACCGTTCTAGGTACTGGGGTAAAGCAGTGACAAAACTAGACAAAAACCCCTGTCCTCTGAGAGCTTTCAAGAAGAGACAGACAATACAAATAAAACATGAGGGACTTCCCTGGTGGCGCAGTGGTTGAGTCCGCCTGCCAATGCAGGGGACACGGGTTCGATCCCTGGTCTGGGAAGATCCCACATGTCGTGGAGCAACTAAGCCCGTGTGCCACAACTACTGAGCCTGTGTGCCACAACTACTGAAGCTTGTGCGCCTGGAGCCTGTGCTCCGCAATAAGAGAAGCCACCGCAATGAGAAGCCTGCACACCACAACGAAGAGTAGCCCCCGCTCACTGCAACTAGAGAAAGCTCACGCGCAGCAACGAAGACCCAATGCAGCCAAAATATAAATAAATAAATAAATAAATAAACAAACAAACAAGCAAATAGAATGTAAAGTGTATGTGATTATCCCTCTTTTTTATGACAAGGAAACTGAGGTGCCCAAGGTCATCTGATTAATGAGTGGCAGAGCCAAGATTCAAATGTAAGTCTTCAAGGTTTATGTGCTCTGTACCTCGTGGATGAAGGCATCTGGGTTTAGGTGGAGTGAAAGCTTGTGGACAAGGCGTGTGGATCTGGGGTGAGGATGCGGGGTGGTGTCTGGAGGGCTGGCTGAGACTCCCCCCCTTAATTTTTGCTTCCCACTCTATCCCAAGGGCCTCCCCTTCCTCATGATTGAGAGTCAGATGCATTTTACTTACTGCCATGCTGGTGGGATCCAAATCACAGGCATCTCGTGGGTGGTGGGTAAACTCTTACTTCTTCCCAGATGGTGTCACAGGGGACTCTGGGAGGAGCAGCTGAGCTCAGTCACACCTCCCAGTGGATGGAGTCCTGTTGTAGAGGCTGCCATTTGAGGAGGCAAGGACTTCTGGGGGCATACAGAGGGCAGAGCTTCTGGTAGGGATGGAGGCCCTGGAGTGGGGCAGGGTAGCCCTGGAGGGGGGCAAGGTAGGGAGCTGGGGGTGCCAACCTGGAGAAGAGCCAACTCGGGGTCATGGTGACACCTTCCCGTGGCTGCCCTGGGCTGAGGGCAGGTGTGCCGTGTGCCCCTAAGGCCAAGCTGGGGAAACAGGGCTCCTGTGAGGAGGGCTCTCCCACAGGGACGGGGGTTGCCTAGGAGGGAGTGATCTCTCCATCTCTGGATGTGCAGGGAAGATGCAAGTGATGCCAGGGTGTTAGGGGGGTACAGAGAGGACCCTTGTTGGCGGGATAAACCCTTTCAGAGACCCCAGCTTCAGAGAAGGGAGAAGATTCTGACTTCCCTTCAGAAGAGCTCCCAGACCAGATGGAGAGGCTGGTCCTCAAGGCCTAGAGCCCAGCCCCAGATCTGCAAGTCCTTTGGGAGGGCCTCTCTAGCCCCACTCCCCAGCACTCAGCTGTGTCCTCAGACCCAGGGTTTGGGTGTCTTCCTGGCAGCCAGTGAAGGTGGGGGACACCATCTGGGGCCTCTGGAAGGTAAGCAGGAGGTTAAAGGAATACCCATGGCCAGAGGACATCATAGAGCTGTCCTTGGGGACCACTCCTGGCAGAACAAATGAGGGTCAAGTCAGTGCCTTTGAAACCCCAAGCTGGGACATTGGGCCTCAGAGGGGCAGCACCCTGAGGATGGAGCAGATGTATCTGCCCCTCAGTCTTGCCCTCACAAAACCAGCAGTCCGACACATGCTCCTCTGAGGGAATAAAATACCCCACAGTGCTGGTGCAGAGTGGATGGATCAGCTAGGGGCTCTAGGGCGCTAGATGGGGAGTCCTTGCAAGCCCACAGGGGCAGGTTGGCTGGAATGGAGATCTGAAACGTCACCTGCTCTCACCCAGGAAGAGGCAGCAACCTCTTTTCAATGCTGATCAGCCCCCACCATCAGGAACACACCTGTAGCCAACAAGGTCGGGCTTATCACTTGCTGCAGCAAAGACTTCCCATCAGGGGATTCCCTGGGGTGTCTCCAAAGGGAGGAGTTAAGGAAGGGGTGCTTATAGGGTTGTGGGGCTGGAGTGAGTCAAAGGATGGTCTCTGGCAGAGATTGGTCAGGATTTGCAAAGCAGGAAGTTGCTGGAAGAGTCAGAGATCTTATGTTGAGAACACAGGAGCCCTCGTGGAGAATTACTATTAAATCAGTTTGCCTGTGGTTTTCTCTTGGAACATGTGGGTCTAAATACATGGGTGTTTTCAAGTGTGAGCTTAGTCTGAGATGGACATCACGGCTTGGTCAGGCACTGTTAACTGTTTTGTAAATCAGGTATGTTTTGCAAATTGTGTTCCCAGTTTCAATTCTCAGTCCTACCCCTATCTCACACTCTCCAACAACCTGGCTGCCAGCAGGATCATTTTCTTCTCATCACTCCACAGGAGAGAGTCTGGACCCCAGCCCCCATTCCTGCCTCTGCTGCCAGCTCTGGGCAGCAGGGGGCAGCAGGGCAGCATCCATGAACCCAGGACCCACAGTAGACTAAGCACAGCCCGGCAAGGGAGCTGAGCCAGCACTCAGATTGAAGGGATATGTGTGAAGCTCTGAACTGCCCCTTTTGATTTCCTTTGTTCCCAGGAATTCTGGGGACAGGGGACAAAAGGGTGAGGGAAATGGGAAGTAAGGAGGGAGGGAAACTGAAGGAAAGGGAGGAAGAATGGCGAGGGAGAGAAGGAAAGGGGGTCTACAGAGCTGGCAGCTGGATCCCCTCCCCACTCCAATCTCTTCCTGTCATCCCCAACCCTGTCTACTTCTATCTCCTGGTTTTAGTCTGACTCCATGGCAGCCCCTCCTGGTCCCTCTCTTTCTCCCACAGTCTAGGCACCCACCTGTGGCCCTTCTGTCTCCAGGTATCTATGTGGTACCTGCCGGGACAGCCCCTACCCCTCAGACTTCTCCCTCACACACAGATGTGACCACTGTGTGTGACATAAACACAGACATAAACACACACACACACTACCACAGGCTGGGTGACGACTTTTAATTTCCTCCCCCACATTTTGCAATTGCTTTGGTCACAAAGGCTGGTCTGACAGTTTAATCCCACAGTGAGGTAGGACTTTTCATGTGGCTGCTGATTTGGAATTTGGCTCCAGGACAAAAATCTGAGGACACAGAGGGGTAAAATACCCCCCTACTAAAGTAACCTGAAAACAATTGGGGTTAGATACCTTCTCTGAGTTTATTAGCCCAGCTCTCTACCACCCTTCACTCTTTTTTAACAATTATTATTTATTTAGGTGCACCAGGTCTTAGTTGTGGCAGGTGGGCTCCTTAGTTGCAGCTCACTGTCTCCTTAGTTGTGGCAGGTGGGCTCCTTAGTTGTGGCAGGTGGGCTCCTTATTTGAGGCATGCATGTGGGATCTAGTTCCCTGACCAGGGATCGAACCTGGGCCCCCTGCATTGGGAGCACAGAGTCTTATCCACTGTGCCACCAGGGAAGTCCCCCACCCATCACTCTTGACTCTACAAGCAGAACACCTGACATCTCTGCAGCTGTGAGTTCACAACCTAGTGGGAGGGGGGAGGGGGCCGGACAAGGGCTTTCCCACTCCCAAGCCAGGTGAGGGAGGCTCTAGGAAAATCACTCAGGGAGGAAAGATGGGTCACACTCAGATTGGTGACTTTGGGATTGTTTAATGAAGAGACTTTTACAAAAGTGTGGTCTGGTGTTCGGGAGATTCCATGCAGAGGGGCACTGATGTCAGGTTGTCAGGATCAGAGAAGCAAGGACAGCAAGAGGGGGCTGTGGCAGTTCTGGGGATGATCCACTGGTCCCTTTCCTCCTCACCTTGCCCCACATCCAGAGGAGAGGGGCACGCAAAGGAGAGGGAGCAGGGTCCTCCCAGCGCAGGGGAAGAGGAGGAGGGAGCAGTAAATTAAGTAGGCGATTGGAATTTTAAACTGGACTGAACTTCAGTTGTTATCCAAAAGTGACTCAAAGTTGTGGAGTTTACCAAATATGCAGTTGTGGATGGAAAAGGGACATTAGACGTCATCAAGCAGAGAGAGTCGATGGGAGAAAAATAAAACAGTTGCACATTTGTGCCTTACTGCATGCTCACTGTTCAGTAAACTGGAAAAGGAGGTACTATCAGTTCCATTTTACAGATGAAGAAACTGAGTTTGCAATCACAGGGCTAGTGGTGGCTAAACTGGGCCAGAACCCTGATCTTCCTGCCTCAGCTTCCCTGTGTCCCCAGACCTCCTCCTTTCCCTGAAGCTGCTACTTGGTGACTCTGAGTTCAGCACACACTAAAGTCACAGTTGGTACAAACAGGACTGAATCGGGAGCTCCAAGGTCAGAACCCAAGGTACACCCCCTCTCACCCACATCACTCAGGCTTCTCCCCAGGATGTCCACCCCAGGCCTTCCAAGATGAGCTGTCACTCCCAGGAGGTACAGACCAGTGCTGATGGAGGAAACGGAAGAAGCCAGAGAGCCCTGGCCTCACATTTCGTCTCCATGCTGACCGCTGCATGACCCTGGGTGAGGCACAGGCCTCTCTGGTCTCCCGTCTCTCAATGCAGCCAAATAATCCCTGGGGTCCCTGCCAAGAGGGAAAACTGATTCCAGTTGGTCAGGTCTCCCAGGGGGCTCACATGCTGTTTCACAGTGGCTTTTAGGAGTAACAGGCCCAGGAAGTGATGTCAAGTTTGGGAAGTGAGGAGTAGGGCAGGGAGGCCCAGAGGGTAGAAGCAGGGGCGATACTTTGGGGCAGGCGGATGCCTGCTGGACAATGGTGCAGGGCAGCCATTGTGCTGGGAGTGGAAAATCCTTTTCTGACTTCATCTCCAAGGGCTGAAAATAGTCTCAGGTGAGCCCCTGGGGGCTGGCTTGGTCTGGCCCATTGTTCCTGGCTGGGACAGGGCTGAGACTGGACACCTGGCTGAGCTGGAGCCAAGAGAGAGGCGAGCCCTACTGAAGAGGCTGGAGTGGCCGGGCAGAGCCAGGGCCCGCTGCATATGGGGAAATTGGAAACTGAGGCCCAGAAAGAAAAAATTCACCATGTCACATGGTGCATCAGGACAGAGGAGGATGAGCTCATTTCCCTCACCCTTCACCCCACACCTCAAGCACATACCGCTGGGGAAGGTAAATGCATCCTTCATCCTGCAGCCCAGTGACTCCTGGCCAAGTTCCAGCCTCCACCCCACAGGAGGCAGAAGCATCAGACATTCAACTGGCTCCACTCCAAGGCAATGTGTGGTGCCAGTGGAGTCACTTCACCTTTCTGGTCACTTGATACTAGGGGAGACCCACTGCCCCACTCTAGTCCTCAGAACTGAGGGCTCATGGGGTCTTGGGAGTGCCTGGGGGAGTAGCTGTTAGTTGTGTCTTTGATGAAAAATCTGGGTGGCTGCTGCCCTAAGGTAGGGAGAACTGGAATGTGGGAAGCAAGGTCTTCAGGTTCTATAGAGTGACACAGAGAGGGCAAGCAGTTGGCCTCAGGTCACACAGCAAAAACTGCCCATCCATTGCCTGCTCTGGCCCAGCTCCAGGCCAGTCCTCCAGCCCTGGGTCTCTGACTCTTGGATAAACCAAGGAGAGGCTGCAGCACCCTGTGGTGGGCACCACCAGTCTGGGAGAAATGGTTAAGCCTGCTACCATGGGTGGGTGGGAGCCCTCAAGCCCATAGGGGAGGGCTCTGGAAGATCAGAGGCATCCTCGTCTTCCTCCTCCTGCCATCACTTCTCCTTACTGCCCTTCCACAGCCCATCGCCTGGACAAGGTTCTGTAAACACACACAAGCTCATGAGCCTGAGAGCCACCCAGTGCCAAGCAGGGCAGAGGGTGGTCCCACACCTCACCCCAGGATGGACCTGCTCTTTCCCGCCACACCCTGGGGAAGCCTCACCCACAGGGGACACTCTCTTGCTCACTGGCCGGACACACTGTCCTTTCCTTCAACTCACTTATCCCAATGTGGTTACTTATTAAGTTATGTCAACTCCCTGAGGGCAGGGTCCAGCTGGCTCGCCTCTGTATCCCCTTGGCACAGTGCCTGGTGTGTAAACGCTTATCATGTGCCAGGTCCTGTTCTAAGTGCTTCATGTGTATTCGTTCAGGTAAGCCTCCCAATGCCCTACGTGGGAGGTAGCATCTCCTTCTAGAAATGAGAAAATGGAGGTGCTGCAAGATTGATTTGCCCAAGGTGCCACAGCTGGAAGAAGTGGAGACAACCCTCAAACGCAGGTGGTCTGGGCAGAGAACGGGTGCTCTTAACTCCATCCTCACTAGACTGCCTCTCTCATCTTGAATCACACAAAGGGTCGCTTACAAACTCTCCTGCCCCGCAGGGGTTGCAAGTGGCATGCGATACTGGAAAGGGAACTAATCTGGGCATCAGATGGACCTGAACTCAATCTTGACTCACCCGTTTACTGCCTGTATAACCTGGAGCAAGTCCTCACCTCTCAGAGCCTGTCCTCTCATCTGCTAAATGGGGGTAATAATGTCTATTTCACACGGTGGTGGTAAAGAATAAAGAATAATGGATGTGACAGGGCGCTGCCTGGTGCCCGGGACGCGGGTCAGTACCTTCGCTCCCTTCCTCAGGGGCCTGGCTCTAAACAGATCAGCCCAAATCTGCCTTGACAAGGGTGGTGGCAGAGGGGTAGCTTTGGTGGCCTGACTTGGACCAAGATAGGAGTAACTGTGTCTGGAGGGCATGTTGGCCAGGGCCTTTCCTAGCCTTTGGAGGGTAAGAGTGTCCCTCCTGGGACAAATGCCACCCGGGGCAGAGACCCCTATGTGCCAGGGCCCCTGCCCCCGTTGCACGGAGCTCACTGAGAAGAGCTGCTGTAGGCCAGTCAGCAGGCATTTACTCCTCTCAGCTGCTCTCCCCGCCCCACTCCGCCCCAGGTCCCTGGCCTCAGCTCCCCAGCTCCATCAGAGGTGGGAAGAGCTGGGGTGGTGGGGGTGATGGCAGGATTCCCACAAAGGCACTGACCTGCACTAAATGGAGCAGAGCTGCAGGGGCAGCCCGAGCCCCTGGCGCACGACCAGGCGCCACGCCAACCTGCTGAGTGACCTTGGACAAGGCCCTGCCCCTCTCTGGCCTTGAGTCTGCAGCTGGGCTGGATAATCCCTGGGGTCCCTGTCAGGGGCTGTGACCTTTCACAGCGTCCTTCAGGAGTCAACAGCCCCAGGAAGTGATGTCAGGGCGAGGAGGTGGGGAAAGGGCAGCAAGGCCCAGAGAGTAAGAGGAGATATTTTGAGAGCAGGCAGGTCCCTCCACGTCACTGCTGGACAATGGTCTGGGACTGGGAGTGGAAAATCCTGTTCTTACTTGGGCTGAAAATAGTATACGGCAACAGAGTAAAGAACCTCACCCACCAGGCGGGGGGCCTGGGCACTGAGAACAAGGCCAGATGTCCACACCGAAGAGCCAGACGGTTTGACTAGGGTCTGCAGGAGGGGCCCTGGGCCTGTCCCTGGTTCCCTTAGGGTCTTCATTCCCCATCCCCACCAGTGCCTGCCACAGGATTAGATGGTGAGTCAGGCCCTCCTGTCCCCTAGCTCCTGTGTCCTTAGAAATCTGTAGGCAGTTGCTTTAAGGAAGGCATCCTGGCACTAGGCCATAGTGTGGTCTCTATGTGCTGTGGGGCTCTCAGTTCTTGGGGTCTCCAGGACAGCTGCTGGAGGGGTAACTGGGCAGGACATGAAAGGAATGGGGACTATAGGGGAACTTGGGCCTGTGGTGGACACAGCCCCATCCCCAACCACAGATAGACACTCGAGAGCCCCCAAAGTCACAATGTATAACTCCCTGCCTCTGAGTCTGAGCAGGGCTGAGGGGGTCAGAGCTCAGCATTAACACTCCTGGCCAGTAGAGTATCTCACATGGGTAGAGGCATCTTATAAACTGGGATTGGGTTCAGCCTGAGCAGCAGCTGGTAAGAAAGAGATAGGCTCAGGCCTGCAAGAAATGTTCAGGGACAGACTGTAAGAGATCATCACAAAAATGCTCATAAGGACCCGGGCTACATTAACAGGAGTATAGAACCTAGAATGTGGGAGGTGAGCATTTCACACTACTTTGGGCAAGTCACCCACATTGCACAGTGCAGAGGAATCATTTGGGTCATGGCTTACGACAGGTCCCTGTCACATGGGGGAGCCCATGTGAGCAACCTCTGGGGGGTGCCGTTTTGAAGAGGCAGAGTGGGAAGGGTGGAGAAGTCATAGGAGGTAGGTGTAGGTGGGGTGGGGAGAGAAGGACCTTCTCTCAGGCAGAGTGGGCCCATCGGGCAAGGGCTCTCCCACAGGGAGAGGGAGAGAGAGAGAGAGAGGGAGAGAGAGAGAGAGAGTCCTTATCCTTGAGGTTCAAAGTGAGGTCTGTCAGTTTTGCCCTATTCCTGCCCAAAGGCTAGGGCTGGGCCCTGTCCAGATGAACTCCACACATCTCCAGAGTGGTCCTGGCTAGACCCAGAACCTGTCCCAGGTGACACTCATCCCCCCTACACTAAGCTCTGACCCAGCCTGAGCACCAACCATTATGTCGGGTAGCTGGATTTTCCCAAGAGGAAGAGGACTGGACAGGAAGAGTGAATCTCTCCCACGCTTATCCCCAGTGCAAAAGAAACCTCATGGTCAGGGCAAGGAGGGAGCCCTGACTTGGCCTCCTTGTGACCCGCCCACCCTCCCCATTCCTGCCTTGAACCTGGGTACCAACTGCCCAGCCAGCTTCCAGTTCCTGCAGGCCCTGCTCTCCTGCCGCCATGTCTTTGCCTAGAACGCACCTGCACCTGGATGTTCTTCTCTGATGAAGTGCTTTTCTCAGAAGTCCACCCACTCCAGGAAGCCTTCCCTGATGCCCTGGTCCACTGCCCCAACCACTCAGCATTATCCAGTGGTGTGCTAGAGAAACTTGTACCTGCTCTCAAGAGGCCTCTGTTAATTTTTCAGGAATTTTGCAAGGAGGCTGATATCACATTGGTAGTCTGAAACTGGCTGTGGCAGGAGTATCTGTACCACAGAAACTGGCAATGCTGCAAATAATGGGTTCCCCTCACCCCCGCACCCCCCGCCGAGAGTCAGCTAAATGGTTGAACTTTTACCAGCGCATGACTGGTCATTGCCATTAAATCCTAAACTGGGGGATCCTGAGGACTGGGACCCCACCTGACTCCCCTCTGTACCCAGCAAAACCAGGCATAAAAGCCAGTTAACTTTAAAGTGGAGGATGACCTGGGGTCTGGAGAGTACATTTATATTCCTCGTGTGAGACCACCACTGAGGCAGCTACTGGGGAGGCGGAAGAGAACAGGTTGGAGAAAGGACCCTAGTGTGGATGGTGAGAGCTCCCCAGGCTGTATCCCCAACCTCCAACTACACAGCGGGGTCCGGCTCAGCAGGTAACAACACCTTTAGTACAAGTCCCAGCCTCAAACTGGCTCCCAGCCTCCAGATGGGTTTATGACATCAGTTCCCAGACGTTCATCCCTTGGGCTGGGCGTCCCCCTCAGAGCTGAGCCCACAGTGGCACTCAGACCACTCCGACTCATCGTGGGAACCTCTGGCTCAGCCCTGACTCCTTACCAGCGTCCTCTGGTCAACCTGCGACCCTGTCCCTCCCAGGCAGCTCAGGCACAGGCTTGGCTGTGTGACCTTGGTTAAGTCACTTTCCTCTCTGGGCCTGTTTCTCCACTTGACTTGATTAGTCTGGAGCCCAGCCTAGGTACCTTGGCAGGCACAGCCAGGTATTTATGTGGGATTCAGGCCAGGGGCAGCGCTGGCCCCAAACCCTTGCCTTTCTTAAAACCTTACTCCCCAAATCTCACATACAAATGGTGACTCAGGATGTGGGGACTGCTGAGCTCTCTGGACCACAGAGAACAAACTGCGCCCCTGTCAAATGACAGAGCACTGGGGTCACGGCCCCCTTGACCATCCGGCCTGATTCACTGATGGTCCATATCTGGAGAGACTGTCCCATTTGGACAAGTCTACAGTCCCACCCGACACAAACTGGCACAGGCCCAAGGGGTTCAGGTCCTACAGCCAGATGTCCTTAGCGTTTTCACTACCAGGCGGTGTGGACTCTATCTGTCTAGAGTCCTCACTGCTGGCCGAGTCTTCTGTCCTCTTAGTGTCAGTTCTGTTGAACCTATGCAGGCCCAGCCTGCGGCGAAGCTGGGTGGTAGGGGTGGGGTCTGTGGGTGGCTTGACGTCCCGAGCAAAGCGCACGAGCCTCTGCCCAGCCAGGAAGTAGAGCACAGGGTCAAGGCAACTGTTGGCGCTGGCCAGCGGCCGGGTGATCTTGTAAGCCATGTTGATGGCGTTGAGGGTGCGGCAGCTGAGGTCCAGCGAGCGGAAGGAGTAGTAGAGGGTGCGGGTGACGTGGAAAGGCAGGAAGCAGAGGGTGAAGACAGCTAGCACCACGGCAATGGTGCGCACTGACTTGCGCTTGGCCCGCGGCAGGCCCCCTGAGGTCCCGTGGGTCGGCTTTAGCAGCCGCCGAGCCATGAGCACGTAACAGACCAGGATGATGGCGAAGGGCACCGCGAAGAGCAGGCTCAGCATGACGGAGCTGTAGGCCACGAAGTGGCTGAAGAGCTCGGGTGCCGAGGTGTCGTGGCAGGTAATGCGGCCACCACGTGCACTGGTGGTGACGAAGTAAAGCACGGGTGCCTGGCAGGCCAGCACCAGCACCCACACGGCGACGGCCACCCTGCGGGCGTAGCGGGCCCGGCCCCAGCGCAGCGAGCGCAGTGGACGCAGGACACCCAGGCATCGGTGCACGCTGATGCACGTGAGGAAGAGGATGCTGCAGTAAAGGTTGGTGTAGAAGAGGAAGCGCACCAGCTTGCAGAGCACTGTGCTGAAGGGCCAGTGGTCACCGCGGGCATAGTAATAGACCAGCAGGGGCAGGGAGGCCGCGTACAGCGCGTCCGACATGGCCAAGTGGAACATGTATGTGGTGGAGGCGTTCCAGGTCTTGAGGCGGCACAGGAAGATGTAGAGAGCCACGGCGTTCAGACACAGCGCGAGCACGCACACCACGCCGTAGGACACAGGCAGTAGCACGTACTTGAAGTTCTCATTGAAGCGGCACTTGTAGCCCAGCTCATCCCCATCCCAGGTGCCATTGATGGTGCCATTCCAGAGGCCCGGGCCTGTGGCCATCGCCCTGAAGGGAAGGGGGTGGTGGGGAGAACGGCCATCAGGACCCAGCAGGGAAGCCTGACACCCCCACCTGACCAGGGCCATGAGGGACCCCAAGTGCCCACAGACTCCCTCGGTTAAGATCTGCCCAACTACGTTCAAGGCTTTTATTGCATCTGATCTGCCTCTCTCCCTGGACCCAGGGGGCCCAGAACCTTGGAACCCTGGAACCTTAAGGATGCATGAGATCCATGACTGTCAGGATCATATAATTCTAACACTTTGGAACAGGGAGAGGCAAAATACCCCCTGAGGGCCAAATCCAGCCTACCAGTCTGTTTTTGTAAATAAAGCTTTATTGGAACACAGCCATGCCCATCTCTTTACATAGAGTTGAATAGTTGTGACAAAGACCATATGTTCCTCAACGCCCAAAATACTTACCAGCTTGCCTTTAAAAAAAAAAATCAGTGACCCTGTTTGAGAACCTCAGGAACACAGAGTTCTAGATCTAGGATTCTGAGCTCTAGAACCTGAGGATCTGGTGGTCCCAAAGGGGTACCATCTGAGATTCACGGAAAGGGGCCTTTGAGGCTGACTGGGTCCACCTCACACCCAGTGCCCACTGCCTGTTTGTGGCCAGTGGGAAGCCCACACCTTCCTGGTGGCATCAGGACGTTCTTTCCTTTAGCTCAGCTTTCTTCTCTCTGAGGAGGCTCTGGCCCTGTGCCTGGTATTTTGGTATTTGAGGGAGTATTTCCAAGGGTCTCCCTCTTCAGTCATTCATTCACCTCTCAGCAAATATTTTTAGGCACTCCTATTCTGGTACTTTCTGCATCTGTAAACAGAAGTCCTGCTCCCTGGCCTATGAGGCTACCAGATGGGGCTGTGACCCTCCTGAAGATTCCAGGGAAGTCTGGGGTGTAGGTGGTAGTGGGGGCATTGGGGGACTTCTGCTGGGGGGCAAATTCAGCTTCCTCCACGCTTGCCCAGCTTCTCTTCACGCATCATCACTACCTTGACCTTCTCCTACCTTGTCCCCAGTGAGCATATAACACAGCCCTGATGCCTGACCGCCCAGACAGTGAGCACCTGGAGATCAGGATGCCACCTTCCTCCTCTCCCCACCCCTCCAACGTGACCAAGAGCTCTCTCTCAGACTATCCCAGTCTGGAAGGCAAAGGTGTGCCCAAAGGTCTCAGAAGGTAGGCTGGAAATCATAACGGGAGTCCCAGAGGGGCAGGTTTGGGACAAACACAAAGAATAGCTTTCTAATAGTGTGAAGGGGCAGGGGGAGCTGACATTATTCAAGCCCCACTACTACTATGTGTGCTTTATTCATGTGACTTCATTCTATCCTTACAACACGGTTCAGGGAGCCAGGTTATCATGCCCAGGTTTCCGACAAAGAGGCTGAGACACAGATCATTCAGGTAAGTTGGCCCAGGTCACAGGCGGGGATAGGCTGCAACTCCTATCTGGGTCCATCCCACAATGGAAGGGGCTGTAGGAGGAGGTAGTGAACTCTCTGCTTATGGGGGTGTGCAAGCATCTCTCTAGCAGAGTCTGCAGAAGGGCTTGTGCCCTATGTGTGGGTGTGTCTGGGACGACAGAGAGGACAGATGTCATGTGTGTCCTGAGAATCTGGGGCTGTAAAACCCCTTTCATTTTGGAACCTGGGGTCCTGAGAGGCTGGGGCTTAGAGATTCTGCGGGGCCGGTGACATCCACTCCCTTAGACACTGAGCTTCTTGCCCAGCCTGGTCTCCCAGAAGCAGCCTGAGGCCCATGAAGTTAAGATTAAGAGGTGCTGAAGGACACACTGCTCCCTCAGCTTCCTTCTTTCCCCATAACCCTCCCCTTCCCCCATCTTCCCTGCCTCCTATTGTCAGCAAAGATGCTACCAGGAGGCAGGGAGCCTGCACTTGTGACCTCCCTCCCACGGACACAGGCTCCTCCCCAAGGAGCCGGGGCAGATCCAGGGTGAGGAGGTAAGTATGGGGTTGGGGTGGGGGGCGCTGGCAGGGCCAAACTGCTGGGACCCCTCTGTCCTGGGGCCAGGACTCAGGACCCAGCATGAAAGCACTTCCTGTATCCCACTCCACTCCTTGCAGCCCAGTGTCACCTCCACCCTTGCTGCTGGAGCCACTGCATCGGCCTCCCTGTCTCCAGCCTCAGTCCCCCCAGTCCAGAGGGGTCTCTGGAAAAGACAAAGTCATTCTCCTGCTTGAAACCTCCTGTGGCTCCTGTCTGCTCTCAGGAGAAAACCGAGCTCTTCAGTCTGGTACCAGAGGTTTTCATAATCCAGCCTCTGTCACCAGCCGCATCCCCTGTGACCTGCAGTTTCCTGAATGCACCCAATGCTTTTTGCCTCCCAGCCTTATGTTGCTCCTTCAATCTGGGATCCATTCACACCCGTCGCCTCCACCTGTTCAAATTACAGCTCTGTTCATCAGCGCAGCAAACTCCGGTGATTAAGAAGAACCCGGCCTCTGGACACAGACTGCCTTTGTTCCCTCATCTGTAAAATGAGGTGATTAACAGAACCTATATCACAGGGCTGCTGTGAGGATTAGGTAATTCGTGTAACACGTTTGGAGCCATGCCTGGCACACAGCAGGTACACTGTGTGTTACGAGCTTCGAGGCTCAGCTCACCTGCGGCTTTTTCCTGAAATCTTTGGGGAGCTCTCTCAGGCCAGGGGTGGAAGAGAAAGATAGAAGGTCCTGGAGGCTGTGAAGCAGGTGAGTGTGGTGGACCAGAGGAATGACTCCAAGGCCCAAGCTGGGGTCAGGCCTGGGGACCTCGTGAGGGAAGAGGTCTGAGAGCTGTTTGAGAGGGTGGCTGGAGAGACTGGCCCAGAGGGAGTTTGCATGGAGGAGGGGCCAGGATGCCTCAGGCTCAGGGGTCGGGAGGAGGGGGAACTCAGTGTCGGGCATGGTAAGTGTGAGATGCCACATCATGGACTGTGGGGAAGGGCGAAGGCTGGGACCAGCAGGTCTGGTGCACTGGGAGATGAGCAGGAGTTGCTGGCTCACAGGAGCTGTAGGAGGAGCCTGGAAGCCCGGGTGTGAGACTAAGAATCTGTGGAGGAGCCATTCCCCCTGGGGACACTGGCTTGGGGTGTGCAGCTCTGCCACAGAGCCCCAGAGGACATCAGGTATTTCCTGCCCTCTTGAGGTTCAGACCTCTCATGGGCTGAATCCCCTGGCCTGGTAGAACTGTGGTTCTCAAACTTCCCCCATGAGGTGCTCTGCCCCGCTGGAGACAGGGAGGGTGGCCCCTCTGTACCCTGCTCAGGGAGCATCCCCCCAGCCCCACCTCCCCACTGCTGCTCCGCTCCTGCCCAGGTGCTGAGGCCTGCTGGGTCTCTCCTCAGAGTCGGGGTCAGGGCCCTCATCTTCCCTTCATGGTCAACATCTCATTGCTCTACACAGTTTCTTGCTAATTACTCATGATGGAATCTCCGACACTGATGAGAGGGGCAGAAACTTCCCTAAGTCTCTCATGAACCAAGGGAGCTGCCCTTTCCACCTATTTTAAGACATCCTGACCTCCACCCTCACAGGCCAGCTGGGGACTCTATCATTGTGGCCCCTGTCCAGACTGACCCTGCCTGTCCTACCCCTCCACAGGCTGGCCCACCAACCTGTGAGAACATCTTTCCTGCCCCACCCGCTCTGAGCAGCCCCTGCTTATGGAGACAGCCAAGTGCCCAGCCCTCTCCATCAACCCTCTCCACTGCCTCTCCTGACCCCTGATGCCCTTGGGGCCTCACTCCCAGCTCCCCAGGACCAGCTCCCGCCTACCTTTGTCCAACACCACTCACCAGCCCCTCTGTGTCCAGTTCTGGCTGGCCCTGCGCTCAAGAGCTCCTAGTGTGGAGGGAGATGTGAGCCATGTAAGTGCCTGCCAGGCTTTCCTGCCTTTGTGTATTGCTGTTCTTTCTGTCTAGAAAGCCTTTCCAGACCCACACACACTGCACTCTATCCTGCCCACCCCTCAAGGCTCTTCTCAAATGTCACCTCATCTCTGAAGCTCTCCCCCTCCATCACTAATCCCCCAGGGCATTCCTCACACCCTGCTGGGAATTTGTCCTTCCACTCTCTACCCCAACACATTCCAGGTGCTCCTGGAGGGCTGGGTCCATCTGATTCCTTTCTCTGGTCCTATCATCCAGCAAGAGGCCTGATCCAAAGCAGGTATGACATGAATGAGAGAATGAATGAATGAGTGAGTGAATGAATGAATGAAGCAAGCACAAGAGCTATGGGAGGCCAGAGGAGGCTAAGCTTTATGATGATGGCTCTCCTTTCCCTTATTCCTCTGAGGACCTTTCACAGGACAATGACATTGAAGGATTTCTCAGCAGCTGATCCTAGGTGGCCAGGGGTCACAACAGCCCTCCAGGGGCCCAGCTCACCTGAGGCCTGCTCCTGCCCTAGGCAGGCTCCTGGACTGTCTCTCTTTCAAGAGCCCTGCTCTACTCCGGACACATCAGAGAAATGCCAGAGGGAGGGGAACCGGACCCAGGCATTCTGGAGACGGGTCAGCTCTCTGATCCACATTCCTTTACCTCACCCATCTCTGGCTCAGGAGCTCCTGATCCTAGATCACCACCCCCTTCACTTTGTAGGGGTCAAGTCTGGGCAGAGCGACTTCCCTGCAGCATTCTCATTTCATCCCTCACCTCATTCCTTGCCAGATGCCGCCATAGAGGTTAAGCTATTTGTTCAAGGTCACACTGCCAGGAATTGGAAAGATTGGGTTTGATACCCAGGGCTGTCTGGCTCTGAAGCCTGAATTCATCACAGCCTGGGAACGAGGGGGCAGGGCACAGATCCCCTTGATTTACCCCCAGTTCAGTGTATACACATGCACGAGTGCACCGGCCCCAGCCTCCCAGGCTCCCAGCCTCCCAGCCTCCCAGCCTCCCAGCCAGTAGACCCTGCCCTTGCACACCCATACCTGACCAGCCCCTGTTCTCACTGTCAGGATGCTCAGCGCAGGCTCAGATTCCTCACTCATGAATGCACCCGCCTGGACCCCTGGACCGAGCTGCAGGGAACTCTGTGGGAAACAAGAAAAACAGGTCCCCTGGCCTGGGGCCTCGCCCAGCTTCCAGCATTTCTCAGGGCAGGCAGTGCCTGGGCTCCTGAGACAGGGAGGTGGAGACAGCTTGGGCTCTGGGTCACGGGAAGTCAGCCAGGCTGAGCCTTCCCCGGGCTGCCTCTTCTGCTCCAATCTTGGTCTGAAAGAGGCAAAGAGGTGAGCTGGTGTGCTTGTCCCGGTAGGCAGGAGTGTCCTCTGCCCACCCTCAACCCCTAGCCATCCACCCTTAGCTCACATGTTCTAGGGACGGTTGTTCCCAGCCTTCAGGCCCAGGTCCCCTTTCACGGGAGGGTGGCTCTGCCAGGCAGGGTCTCCCCCATACCCTGCAGAGTTGAGCTGAGCCTCCAGTGTCCCCTCCCTTGGTCCTGGTCTGGAAACAGTCAATACCCTCCTTGTCCAGTGTACACTCGACAGTACTCTGGCCAATCTAGTTTAGCTCAAGCTGGGTCTCTATCTGGAATACCCTTCCTCCCTCATCCCACCTCTAACCATTCCTCCACAGGTGTTGTAAACACACAAGGACACACACAGGCATGGATACACCTAGATACACAGATACACAGAGATGTACATAGTCATACTCAGATGTATACACAGTATACACACACACTCTCTCCCAGAGTCTTAAACAGTCAGGGCCTGGAACAGCCTTTAGAAATCACCTCTGCCAACCTCCCATTTGACAGAGGAGGAAACTAAGGCCCAAGGCCTCACAATAAGCCAGGGACAGAGCCAAGAGCAGAACCCAGGTCTGGATTCTGGCCCTAGTTTTATGTCTTGCCTGAAGCCCCTCCCACAGAGCAGGCACAGTGCTTCAGTGAGGGGATGGTGACCTGGTGGAGGAACGCCTCTGTGTGGTCAGGTCCCAGCAGAACCTCAGACCCATCTCGGAGAAGAACATCCCCCTCCTTTTTCTCCCGATTTCATTTCCCTGCAATGGGGGAGTGGGGTCTGAGACAGCTGAGCCAGGTCCCCAAGCTGGAAGTACAATGCAAGCATGGAGGAAAGTGGGGAGAGGAGATGGGTGGCTGCAGGAATAGAGCAGGGGGAGGGGGCACTGGAAAGGCCCTGGACCACCGTTTTCCCAGTGCACCTTGCCCCAGGAGTCTCAGGCTGACATTGGCCAGTGGGCTGGTAGCTGTTTGCCAGTCTGTTCTGGAGTCTAGTGACAAGGTGAAAGAAAGAGCTTCACCTTTTTGCCCACTCCACCAGGGTCACACCCAGTCTTCTCCTCCTAGGGCGATATCTTCACTCAAAAGACTAAGGTAGAACAACACACGTTCTCAAAGCCACTCTCCCATTTCTGAGAAGGGTCTCTACCATGCATCCTTCCAGGCTTCAAAGCTCCAGTATACCCTTGACAACCTCTCTCTTTCCCACCCATGTGAAACCATCACTCACCAAGCCCTGTCAGTTCGACCAATGCAGTGGCTTAGACGTGCCACTCTTCCCGACCCCGTGGTTTTGAGCCTGCATTTCTCCTCCAGACCATTGCACTAGCCTACTTACTCCCTGCCTCCACTCCTGCCCCTCCTGTCCATCTTTCATACTGCAGTTATGGGTCTTCCTAAACCACACATCTGACCACATACTATGGAGCTCAAAATCCTTCCATGGCTCCCCATTGCCCTCAGGTTGACATCTAAGTTCCTGAGCCTGGCACTCAAAGCCCTGCTGATCTGGTGCCTGCCGTCCTCCACACCACTCTCCCTCTCCGCCTCCACCCTCATCTTTCTGTCTCCAACACAGCAAAAGCAGTCCCGTGGTCATATCTTTGCTTAGGGATACCCTCCCTTATCTTCTAACAGCTATGTCATAACAAGAGTTGAATGCTTTCTCTGTGCCAAGTTCCATGTTAGATGGCTCCATCAACCTCTTCTCGTTTAGTCCTGAGAATTTCAGAGAGGTTGAATGACCTCTCCAGGGTCACAGAGCTAGCAAATGGCAGAGCAGCCCCCGTCTGTCTGACTTTAGGAGCTATGCCCCTGACTGTAAGCAGATAAGGTAGGGGTTCCCCAGAGAAAGAAAACCAGGCATGGCTTTCTTGGCATAAGAGAAGCCATATTAGGCCTAGGATTTAAACCTGGCCAAAAATGCTTGCCCTTGAACAGGTCTCAGTAATTAATGATCTTAAGGGCGAGAGAAGTAGCAATAGCAAATACAATAAATCAGTTGTAAAGATTCCCAGCTCTGTTTCAATGGTAAAGATTAGCCTGAAGCACTTTCTTGAGCAGTTCTGCAAAATTTAAACCCCCCTTGAGGGCTCAACCACCAGATCAACTGGAACCTAAGGAATGATGATGATGACCTTTTCTGACTTGAGTCCTCAGTCAACTAAAGCTTAGACCCTGTCAACCTTTGCCGCAATTATATGCTGAGTTCTCTGCTCATATCCCTTGCAAGTGAGTATTCATGTACCCTTAGCTTAAAACTCCCCCAATTTTGCTGTTCAGTGAGACACTGCTTTGGGAAAGGTCCCCGGTGTTCTCCTTACTTGCTGCAAGTAGTAAGTACTTCCCTCTCCCGCTTTTTGGCTGGGTTATGCCTTTTGGCTTGATGCCCATGAAGAGGCGAACCCAGTTTTGGGGTAACTACCTCATACCCTCCAAAGCCCGGATCCTCTCTTCCAGGAAGCTCCCTGACCAGCCCTCTTTGAGCCCCACAGTTTTGCCTGTCTGATTAATTCTCCACCGGAGGGAACATCTTACTGGCAGGGCCCAAGATCTACTCTTCCTGGTAGTTCCCCATTGTGAAGCAGCCATGATGGTTACTGTACCCATCTTACAGTTAAAAAAAAAAAACCATCAAGGCCAGAAAGGGTAGCCCAAGATCTCACCCAAGGTCACCAATAAGGCAAGGGCAGAGCCAAGCCTAGCATGCAGACGGACTACCCTCTCCCTTAACCTGGCTCTGTCTCTATCCCACACTGGGTCTGTCTCCCTGTGGTCCCAGGCTAGTGACCCCAAAGCCAGGAGGAGTGACTGGGGCAGTTCCCAGGCTGGTTGCAGAATTTCCAAGGTGGTTGGACAACATTCCAGCTTCCACTAGGGTGGCTCTGGAATGTACTGCCTGCTCCATACCCACCTGGCTGGCCCTGTCCAGTCTGACAGGGGAAAGTGACCCATCACCATTCTGGAAACTCCTGCTGCCTGCCTCTGCTGGGGGTGGAGTGCTGTGAAGGGAAAACAGAGGCTCTGGATCCAGAACACCACTGAGGGGCAGGGGAGGGCACTGGGCGGGTGAGAGATCCCAGTTCTGCCATTCCCAGCTATAGGATCTGGACAAGCCTCAGCTCCACAACTTAACTCTCAATTTCCTTGCAATCTAAGAACAGTACCTGCCTCGTAAGTTTGTCGAGATGACTAAAGGAGATGATTTAGACTCATTTTGTGAAATAATTAAAAGAGATATGATTTTAGCACGTGAAGAAGGCAGGGAGGATGGGGGTATCCCAGGAAGATAAGAGGGGCAGGAAACCCACAGGTATTATGGGCAGAGAAGCAAGGTCACAGCCAGACTGACCACAGATCAAGGTTCCCACACTGAAGGCTATCCTCAGAAGGGAGGGCAGCTTAGGGATCCCCCGCAGGACTTACACCCCACCATACCCCATCACTCACTCACCCTTTACAGGGGCTGCCATACCTACACCTGTCCCTGTGCGGGGCACTTAGGGACCCTGAGGTGGGTCAGACCCTTCCGTGATCTTGAGGAGCTCACTGTCAAGGCTGAGGGTGGAGGGAAGAGGACAGGGGAAGAACCAGAAAGAGTCAGCAACAACTTAAGGTGATGAGAGCTGAAGGAACCAAGAGGGACGCTAATGGGAATGGGGGGCGGGCAGTGATCAGGGAAGGCTTCCTGGAGGAGAGGACACCTGCCTTTGGAAGATGGGTAGGAGTCAAGAGGGTGGAGAGAGAAGAGGAGCAGAGTGAGCGAAAACTGGGGCAATATGTTTGGGAAACTGTCAGTCATCCCTGTGGCTTGAGGGGAGTAGAGAGGACAAGGCTGGGTTGGAGGATAGGAAGAATCTTGGAAGTCATCCTCTGCCCCCTCCCAAATGTCCTCCATGGGGCTGAAGGCCAATAGGCCCCCAGCCTTTTCTGGTGTGCTTTCTGCACCATGAACACTGGGGCTTGTCTGGGGAAATAGCTGAGGGCTAACCTCAGATGTCATCAGCAGGTGCTGTTGTCGTGTGAAGCCTCTGCAGCCTCCGCTGGAGGCCCTGGGTCTCTGTAGCCCCTTCTGGAATCTCTCTCCCCCTTGGGAGCCCTCAGGATCCTGACCGTAGGAGCCACCCATTGGGGTTGAGCTCAGAGCATCTGAGTGTGTGGGTCTCAGGTCAGCTAGGCTGGTCCTCCCACCTTACAGATCAGGAAACTGAGACTCCTGAAGAGGAAGGGCCTTATCAAGGTCTGGTCTTCTAATTTTCAGTGTGGGGTTGAGCACCCCCAAACCCACTCCAGGGCAGGACTCCAAGCCATCTAATCCACCTCTGACACAGCACAGCCCCGCACAGTTGCTAAACTGAACAAGTTCAGAACCACAATGCCCTGGACCCCACCCCAACCCATCACACTCGAACGTCTCCAGCCATACTCAAGAGGCAAGAACCCTGGGTTCAGGCTCCAACTTGGAACCATCCATGCTGTGCAATCTTGGTCAAGTCAGTTCCACTCTCTGAGCCTCAGGTTCCTCACTGGTCAGACAGGGAGAATCACTGCTACGTAAGACAGCTCATGAGGAATGAGCAAGACAAGGGGGGCAGGTGGGTGCTCCGTGGGGCTAGCAGATCATGTGCTGTCCTAATGTGGAGGCTGCATCTGCCCATCTTGGCAAAGAGACCCCGAACACTTCTCAGCAGGGGGACTTACCAGGTGACCTAGCAGAGGAGGAGGGGTCATGGTCAGAGGAGTCAGGGAAGCCTCCTAGAAGGGGCCGTGATCAGGTCTGTGGAGAAGCAGGAAGGGTCCAGTTTCGGCGGAAAGAGGGAGAATGGAGACCCCCAAGGTAGAAAAAGGGACAAAAGTGTTGGCCAGGATATACGTGAGCCTGTGATTCTGATTGTCTCACTCAGAGTGCTTCCAGGATTTGGAGTTCATTGGTTCTTACAGTCCAGTTCCAGGAGTCTCTGGTTCCAGGAGTGAATGCTAAATGTTTCTTCGCTTCTGTTATTCATTGCTTCTGACAGCTTTGGTTTTGAGATTTTCAGAACCACAGGAGTCTAGACTCTCAGAGTAACACAATCATAAATCGCTTTCCCAGGAGTCACAGTGTCTTAACAAACACTGGCTAATACCCCCATATGCCCAACCTCAGAAAGACCCTGCAAACCCAGACTCAGATCAGACTCTGTCAGGCCCTTGTGGAGCTCCAGTCCGGATGGGGAGAAAGACACAGACATGGACCAAGTCCGCTTGAGTGATTAAGCCATGACTAAGGGAAGCCCTGGGGATATGGAATCCAGAGTAACCTCTAACTGGCGTGGGGATGTAGTCAGGGAGAGCTTCCCTGAGGAGGGGTCATTTGAGCTGGGACTTGAAGGATGATATGGAGTTTGTCAGGTAGACAAAAATGTAGGAGAGCACTGAAGGCAGAGGGAGGAGCACGTGCAAAGATGCCGTGGTGTGACAGCGTGGCCTGTCGGGGGAAGACTGGGGGGTCATGTGAAGTTGGAGTGGAGGGTTAGGTGGCACGGAATGTGGGAGGGCCTGAGGTCTCACACGGAAAGGCTTGAAGGCCGGGCTGAGGCCTCAATCCTGAGGAAAATGAGGAGCCCTGGCAGGGCTTAAGCAGGGAAGGACATGGTAGGAGGTGATCTTTGCAAAGATGGTGCCACATGGAAGTTGGATAGGAAAGGGGGGGTCAGAAAGGAGGGATCGGGGGCTTCCCTGGTGGCGCAGTGGTTGAGAGTCTGCCTGCCGATGCAGGGGACACAGGTTCATGCCCCGGTCCGGGAAGATCCCCCATGCCGCGGAGCGGCTGGGCCCGTGAGCCATGGCCGCTGAGCCTGCGCATCCGGAGCCTGTGCTCCGCAACAGGAGAGGCCACAACGGTGAGAGGCCCGCGTATCGCAAAAAAAAAAAAAGAAAGAAAGAAAGGAGGGATCAAGAAGGAGACTACACACATAATGGTCCAGTGAGGGGAGCTGATCCCTTGGCCCTGGATTTCCTTGTGAGATGGAAAGCATCCTTGCTGGCCCACAGCCCAGCCACAGCAAGACTCCTCCCACAAGTTGAGGCTGGGGAGATTGCGCGCTCACCAGGAAGCTGTAGCAACACCAGGATCCTCCCCAAGGCAGGGGGAGGGGAGAGGAGAGGAGAGGGCCCCAGGAAGTCTGAGGGAGGCCCTCCTCCCATGCTCCAGTGCCCAGGCAGTGTCATTGTCACTGTGATGACAGGGCACCAGGGTGGAGCACCAAGGAGGAAGCAGCCGCCCAGAAGGGCCTAGGTTGCCCATCTTCCCAGCAGGGACTCCAGCTACTCACTGGACCAGACACAACTCAGTCCTTGGAGATGGCATGACAGAGGAGTAGAGGAACCCCTCTGCTCAAGAACCAACTGTATCTCTCCATGGAGCAAGATCTTTCTCTTCTATTATACACCTAATTTCACCTGGTCATTCATTTCCCAAACACTCACTGGCACCTTCTCTGTACCCAGCCTGTGCTGGGTGATGTGGACAGAGAGGGACAGTGGGCCCGGCCTGACCTAGTCCTGCAACTGACCTCTAGGATGAGTACAGAGGTCAGGGAAGGCCCCCATAGCCAGTCTCCCAATGGCTGGGAGAGGCCAGACCTGAGGACACAAAGGCAGGCCTAAGAGGAAGGTGTGGGTCAAAAGGTACACCAGACAGACCCACAGAAGGAAGCTGGGGAGAGGAAAGATTTCACCGGGGTGACTGCACCCCCTCTCACCCAGATCAGCAAGGCTTCTCCAGCCCTGTGGGCAGCCTGAGCAGATACTATCTTACCAGCAGCTGGGTAATCAGGCCACAAGCAAGAACTGAAGACGTGTTTTCAGGATGGAATTCAAACTTCCTTCAGCCTGAAAACTAGAGGACCTGGCCTCACCCAGATGGGGCTTCTGTCTTGAATGCGGAGGGATAAGCTAGGTAGGGCAGGTAGGCAGGAATCCCAGCTTTCACCAGCTTTGTGACTTTGGTCAAGGTGCTCTCTGAGCCTTTATTTCCTTATCTGCAAAATGCGAGTAATAATTCCTCCCTTACGGGGCTGGTGGAAGATAAAATGAAGTACATTTATAAAATGTTACTAGTAAGCTGTCTCTGCAGAGAGGGCAGGGAGAGGAAGGCTGTCAATAGTTAAAATTCCAATAACCAGCACGATCCCTCACTATTGCATTTGTGTTCTTGTATCGTCTTCAAAACGCATTTAGGTCTGTAACTGTCACGCGCCTCCCCTGTGCCTTGCATTTTACAGCTTACAAGGCCCTTTCCTAGACACTGTCTTAAGAATCCTCATAGCAACCTGCATCCGAAGATACAAGGACCATCATGCCCAATTTACAGATGGCAAAACTGACACCTAAAGGGGCACAGTGGCTCCTCACAGCCAGGAAAGAAGCCAAATCAAAGCCTTCACGGGGTCACCTATGAGGACTTGGTGATGTTCTCACACTCTTTTAGCTGGTCTTTGGAGGATCCAGAAACCTCAAAGCTCTGTGCACCCTGGGCAGGAGGAGGACAAAAAAGGAGGGGCCATAGTCTCACTTTGCAGTCCAAGCTTGGCAACCATGTGTGAGTGTCACCCACCGTGACACTCCAACCCCTCCAAACAGACCCCAGGACAGCCCAAGGTAAGACGAAGTGGAAAGTGATAAGCCTTTCATGCCAGCTGTCCCCTCCCCCCAGCCCCACATACTCTCAATTCAAGACTTCACTGGTTCTGGCCTCCTTTTAGAGGCTGGCAGGGCAAGAACTGTCCCAAGGTCACCCAGCGTGTTGGGGGCAAAGCTGGGATGAGATCAATTTCAAGTCTCCTGGCTCCTACTAGGGGAGGGAGAGTCCTAACTCTCCCCAAATTCCTCAGCAAGAGCATCTGAGGACTCAGAGAAGTGTTTGGCCACAGGGACAAGGGCTCCAACTTTAAATAATGCCTGGATGGGTCTGGTGTCAATCTCACAAATGCCCTAAGCTTCTCGTACTCAACACTACTCAATCCATTCTCCACGCTGCAACCAGAGAGATCTTTCTGAAATGCTGTTCTGACCATGCCCTGCTCACAAAACTTCCAAGGCTCCCTATTGCCTTCTGGATGAAATCCACGTTTTCAGCTTGTGCACCCTGAGTCCTGTAGTGCCCCAGGACACACTGTTCTGACAATCTGTGCACCCATTCTGGTGACCTGATTCTGGTTTCCCCTTCTTTGTAATGACGTGGAGCTCCACTGTAGACAGGCTTTCACTGGGGAAGCTGGGGACAGGGGGCAGGGGTTAGGGGCTGCTGCTGCTCTCCCAGTTTAGCTCAGCATTGTGCAGGGTCCTGGCAACACAAAAATGAGTGAGACCCAGTTCCTGCCCTCCAGGGGTCCCCAGACCTTGGGAGAGGGAAGGAGGAGACAGACAGAGACCGTAACAGTCCAAGGTGGGACCAGGACTGCAAGAGCCCAGAAGAGGCTCCAACCCAGCTGGGGGAATCAAGGAAGGCTTCCCAGAGGAGGGGGCATCTGAACTGGCCTCCAAGGCTGGGTAGTTCTCCAACTGAAGAAGATGAGAGTAGGAGGGCAGTTCAGGCAGTGAGTATAGAATATGCAATGGTCCAGAAGCAAGAAACTGACTACTGCGCACAGCAGATTACATGCATTTACTAGAGGGTGAAGAGTCAGGCAGGAGAGGTGGCTGGAGAAGGTGGCAAGGACCAGTTCTCAGGGGCCTTGAGTCCCAGGCCAAGGGGCTCAGGCTTAGTCCAGTGGAAGTCCTGTGAAAGTTTAGCCCAAGGAGGAGAATGATTGGGATTTGGGTTTCAGGAAGTTCCCTCCAGGAACTGATCCCCCCACCCCCAAGCATTGAGCCTGCCCAGGAGGATATTTGTGTTGAACATGACCCACACACCAGCTCTGCAACTGTCCTCATGTTCCACATCATTATTACTCCCCCTTTACAGACGAGGCCACTGAGGCTCAGAGAAGGGACATGCCTTGCCCACGGTCACACAGTGTACAAGGCACGGTGGAGTATAGCTCTCTGGGTCTCCAGAGAGCTTTCAGGGGGCTCTGTCTGCTCAAAGACTCTCTTTCCCAGCCGCTCCCACCAATAGTTAGCTGAGACTTTATCTGGGCCCCACCCTGACCCTCAAAAGCTCCTCATTATTCCAGCCTAGATCCCAAACAAAGTGGGCACTTCAGGCTGTGGGCCCAGGGAAGCTGGGGATGCATGATGAAAGGAACAGCTGCCATCAGTCCCACAGACTCCAAACTGGCAGTTCTGGTTCACAGCAGGGCCTGGCCCTTGGGTCTGGCTCCTGGCGACCCCAAGCCTGACACCTGCAGCCCTAGTTGGGGTGGGGAGAGAGGGAACTGTCTTTCTCCAGACTCATCCTTCGTACCGCAGCCTGCCAGATTAAAACTGCCCTGACAGAGGGTTAACTGTCCTTCTAGGCCTCTGCTCTGGCCCCCCCAAGTCTTGCCGATGCCCAGGCGAGGTTGCCCCCCAGAGCGCCCCTGGAGGGAGGGGGCTCAGCGGGCCTCCAAGGCTGGCCTGTCTCTGGCCCTGGTCCCACGCTGCCGGGGCGCCCACACCAGAGCACAAACACAAACAAGTTCCACAGGTTCAGCAACTCGACCCCGCAGGGGCGCACTCACTCACCCAGTGACAAAGACTTTCCCAAATACGCGGACGCACATTTACCCGGGTATCCGTGCACGTTCACCCGGGTATCCGTGCGGGTATCCGTCCACATTCCCCAAGATCGAAGCTCCAGTGGAGACCCAGCTCTACCACGGACCTGCCGGAGCGCTCACACCGGCTGGGAACCGCGCCTCCTCGGCCAGCCCCGCGCGCTCCGCTCTGCCTGCCCGGTGCCGGCTGAGCCGCCACCGGCCGCGTATCCGGGCCCGCCCGCCGCCGTCTCCTCGTCTCCGGGCCCTGCAGGCGGCCCGCTCTCACCTCGCAGGGCGCTCGTCAGCCCGCAGTGCCCCGGCCGCGACTCCCGGTTGCCAGCGCCAGCGTCCAGTCGCCGCGGCGGGGACCCACGTGCCTGAGAGCCCCGCCCGGCTTCCTACCCTGCCGGGTCAGGCCGGGGGCGGGACGGACTCTGGACAGACCCAGGCACAGCCATCACCACCTCCCGTCCCGACAGACACTCCGCCAACCACTTGGGGACGCTGCCGGGCGATAGGGCCGCGGGGTCAGGGCGTCCGCTTCGGGTGCTGCCCGGGGAGGGGCTGGCGGCGACTGTCCTACCGCCTGGGGACCGAGGCTCCCTGGGCTTCCTCATACGGGATGATGAGTGGTTTTCAGAGACGCTAAAGTTTTGCAAAGTTTGGCATTCTTGTGGCCCCTGTCGCTGCCCACCGCGAGACCTTCCCCGAACCTGTGTCCACTCTTCCCAGGCACCTTGCTCAGAGCACTCGCCTTCTATTTCCAGGAGGAAATCCGGGCATTCAGGGTTCTGACTCTCCACCTCTGGGGAGGAGGGTGGGGGGAGCCTCCCCTGTGCTCTCTGTGCTTAATCTCAGCCAGAAAGAGTCACTAGAAATTTCCTGAACACTCGGCTTTTCTTGGTCCATCATCTTCAGCTGCTTCCCTTGAGCTGCCTTCTCAGACGACTCCAGACACAGACATCACTCCCTTCTCTACCCTCAACCCCACTCCCGTGGCTCCTGTGGCCAGGGACCCTATGTCTGTCCCTTTCCTGGACTGTGAGCTCCAGGAGAGCAGGGACCAGGTCTGTCTGCCTTCTTCTCACCGGTCCCAGAGGTCCCAGGAGTTGTTCAGTACTTGTTGGATGTTTGAATGGATGAATGAATGAATGCCCCCCTCTCTCTCATTCTGGTCTAGGCGTCAGGAGTGCATGTTCTGGCTCAGCTTCAGCACTGACTCTGGGAGACCTTGACCCAGTTCCAGCCCCTTTCAGGGCCTCCTTTTCTGTGAATTAGAGGCAATTACACTCACCCTCCCAACAACCAGTGACCTTCCATGTATGGCTTTAGACAGTCAGTGTCTGGACCAGTGCACAGGAGGTCTGTTTCTGTGGCCAAGGAGCTTGCCCAGGGCCCTAGAACCTTGAGTCCTGCTGGGCTCCACATCAGCTGACTGCGGCCTGGCTGCAGCCTTGCCAGGAGCGGGAGCAGGGTGGACACACAGTCCTGTGTGGCTCAGCCGCCTCGGCAGTGCCCCAGGGACCTTCACCCGGGAGACACAAAGGCCTCTTGTCCAGCCTCCTCCACATATTGTCCAAGCTGGTCCATGCAGCTTCTAGGGGGCTAGGAATCTCTGTGGCCCCTACTTACAGAGTCCGGGCCTTGGGGTCTCAGTGTGCGGAAGGCCCCCTGGACACTGGAGGCCTCAGCCACGCCCCTTCTTGCCCCTCCCATCAGCCCTCTACTGTAACTGCTATTTAGGTCCAGAGAAAAAATTCCTTTGTTACCATTATGAGGAGCCAGGGCTCTGCCGCAGCCTCCAGTCGACAGGAAGGTGGGCAGCCCAGGTTCTGCTCCTGCTCTGGTCAAGTCCCGTACTTTACAGCAGAAGAAACTGCATCCCTGAGAAACACAGGGTCTGAGCTACCACAACAGGTGACTTAGGCCTGAGGCACAGAGGCAAGGGATTTGCCCTTGAACACCACAGCCTTGAGTCCCATCTTGCCTCACCTCCTTTGATGCTTCTCTGAGCCTCAGTTTCCTCTTCTGCAAAATGGCAATAATGATCCCTTTTTCAGTGGCCCATCTGGTGTCCTTTTTTCAGGGTTTTGCCCATCATCCCCAGTGACGTTGGTTCAAAGGGTTAGGATTCCCCTCTAATAAGGGGCTGGAAGTCTAGGTCTCCTGACATCTTTCCCTGGGCTTTGGAGATCATCCGGTCCAGCAGGCTCCAAATCCCCCAGCTGAGTCTCCTCTACTTACAGCAGCCTGAGGAGCCCCCGTCCCACTTCAACCTGAGCTCCTTTGCTTTTATCTTTGTATTTACTTACATTTTCTTGTAAGAGTTTGATGAACCATGATCCGGCTGGGAACTGAGGCCCAGCGAGTCCCATAGCAAGCCCCACACGAGGCTCCGTTACAGCTGGGTGGAAGAGCATGCAACCAAGCCAGGTCGCCGCGGCGGGGACCGAGGCGGGCTAGTGGTGAAGGCCCAGACACGTCATGGTCCCCACGAGGAGGGGGGACCACGAGAGGAAGCAGGGAGCAAGGCTCCATTAGCAGCATTGGGTCAGGATGGGGAGGGCAAGCCCAGGAGTGCTTCTCGCCAGGCATTAGGAGGCTTCCTGCCTCTCCAACCCTGAGGAGGCATTTGGCTCTCTCAAGACTTCTCATCTTCCCTCTCTGACTGCTCTCATCTCCCCTGAGAAAACCCACTCTGAGAATTTGTGCTGGGGGTGGAGCCCCGGCCCCAGCTCAGGTCTTGTCGCTCAGCTGGGACGTGACACCTCCAAGCCCTCCTTCACAGGTGCCATTACCCCCCTTAGCCATTGCCTGCCTTACACCCTCTGGTGGCCACCACCACCCTCAAGATAAATCCTGGCTCTGCAGGCTACCACACCAGGCCTTTCCTCCCCCCCACCTCCCCTCCTGCCTCTGCTCCAGTCAGACTGCAGTGCTGAGCCCTCACTCGCCTCCTGCCTGGCACTTGCAGCTCCCCCTGCCTGTGCCCCTTGATGCTTCTCCACCCTTGGCCCTTTCCCCTAACTCCCCACCATGGCTCCTCTAAGTCCCAGCCCAGGTGCCCCATCAGGTACCTCCCTCTGTCACATCTCTTACCACAGTCTTATCACTGTCGATATCTATCTCCTCCTCTAATGGGGATCTGCTTGAGGGTAGGGCTAGGGTCCCTCCTGTTCACAGTTAAATGTCCAGTACACAGCACTGTCTGTCACCCGGGCAACCTCAATGAATATTTATTGTATGAGTAAATGAGTAAGAACTCTACTGATCACCTTCTTTGTGCTTGTCATTGTCTCTTTTTTTATATAAATTTATTTATTTATTTATTTTTGGCTGTGTTGGGTCTTCACTGCTGTGCGCAGGCTTTCTCTAGTTGTGACGAGTGGGGGTTACTCCTCGTTGCGGTGCGTGGGCTTCTCATTGCTGTGGCTTCTCTTGTCGCAGAGCATGGGCTCTAGGCGCGCGGCCTTCAGTAGTTGTGAGTCGTGGGCTCCAGGGCGTGGGCTCTAGGTCGCAGGCTCAGTAGTTGTGGCGCACGGGCTTAGATGCTCCACGGCATGTGGGATCTTCCTGGACCAGGGATCGGACCCATGTCCCCTGCATTGGCAGGCGGATTCTCAACCACTGCGCCACCAGGGAAGCCCTAGTCATTGTCTTAAAGTATCTAATTTAATCTTCACCAGAACCCTAAGAGGTAGGTGTTACCTTTATCATTTTACATATAGGGAAACTGAAGTGCAGAAAGTGGAAGTGAATGTCCAAATCACACAGTGAGTCTGTGGTAGGTCTCCTGGCCCTGAAACTGCAGTGGGCTGGGAAGGAAGGCCCTGCTGAGTTCCCGGAGTGATGACTGAGCCATGGCACTGGGACCCACGCTGCAGCTCTGGTTACACAGGGCTGGGCTGGCTCCAGCAGCCTTGTCTTGCTAGCTCTCTGGACTGCTGCATTGGCCTGGACCATCCCTGCCTCCCTCACCGACCGGGAACTGTGCTCCTCAGATTTCCAGGGCAGGGGCCAGGCCTCTGATGTCAAATGCGGCCTGGAAGCTCTGGCTCTTGGCATGCCAAGATGCTGGCACCCAGGGGAGGCAGCCGCAGAGGCAGGAAGCCTGGTCCAGGCCTAGGCAAGCCTCTGTTCTACCTTTCTACTAGCAGGACCAGCTACATAATTTGAGGGACCCAGGGCAAAATGAAAATGCAGGCCCCTTATTCAAAAATTAGTATGAATCTCAAGATGGGATAGTAGAGCATTAAACCAAGTACAGGGACCTTCAAAGCGTGGGTCAACGCCTGTGAGGCCAGTCCTATCCTCAGAACTTGGTTTCTTCATCTGTCAAATGATGGCCACCTGGCCAGGCAGTGATAAGGGTGAGGTGGGAGATGTAATCAGGAGTTTCAGTGGACAGCGTGAGGTTGGGTAGGGGTCCGTGTGGCCATCATTTGTTGTTTACCTCCCAGCACTAACTAGCAGACCAATTCTTGTCAGGAGTTTGATTCCTCACACAGCTCCTTTTCATGAACTAAAAACTAAGGCTCAGGCAAAATGGCTTGGTCAGGGTCACACAGAGACTCAGTGGGGGAAGCCAAGATCAGAGCCCTGGCCAGTCTCTCTGCAAAATTGGTGCTTTTTGTAACACAGGCAGAGAGAGAAGGGCAAGAGGGAGGGGGTTGCTGCTCAGGACAAAGAAGGCCACTGTGCAGACACAAAGACCTGACCACAGAGGCCCCTGCAGGGGCTGGGCCAGATAGGTGGATAGAAAAGCCCCTTGGTGACTGGGGGAGGTGCCAGGAGCTGCCTCCCAGCCTCTCCCTGGTCGTGATGGGGGTGGGGAGGTGGCAAGCAGAAGCTGGGAAATGGGTCAAGGAGGAGAAACAGACTCAGGGCCAGGCCCCTTATCCCAACCCCAGGCCCAGGCCACCAGAGCCAGAGCTCCCCACTCTGCCTCTCCCCAGCTTCTCCTGGGCAGCCTGCCAGCTGAAGGGATTTCCCCCCCCCCGCCCCCGCACACCACCCACCACCTTTCTTTCCCCCACCTTAGTGAGAGTGGGGCTCATCAGGGAGCTGACCATCTGACAGCTCCAACCTCACAATCCTGCTCAGAAACTTCTGGCTACTCTCCATCCCCCACAGAGGGAGGAAGCATAAGCACCTCAGTGTGTCATTCAGGGTCCTTCGTGACCTGCCCTGTTGACCTTTCCACACTCCCCCGTCCCCACTCCCTATCAGCCTTCCACAACCTAGTCACATGAGGCATCCCACAGTTTTCCAAATCACTCAGTCCGTTCACACAAAACCCTGCATTTGCTCATGCTTTTCCTTCCTCCTGGAGAGATCTTTCCCCCTGCTCATTGCTGACTGGAATCCTTTCTCCTTCACTAACCAGTTCAAGGCCCCCTCTACCAGACAGCTTTCCGCTACCCCTACGGTTGGATGTAACCACCGCTCTGCCCCCAATGTTGGATTCACCCATTCTTTTGCAGAGCTTACCCCAGTCTGGCTTGAGCTGTAGTTTGGATCCATAAAGCCTGCCTGGAGGAGGGGGCATTTGAGCTGGGCCTTAAAGAGTAGGTGGACTTGACTGGTGGATGACAGTGGTAAGCAACCAACAAGAGCTAACAGAACCAGCTCTCTCTCAAACATTTTATTTAAATCAATCTATTTGGTTCAGATAGCAAGGGGTCCATAGTTCAGAATGGCAGGAGGTGAGTGTGGGGGGCCGGGTCAAGGGATAGATAAACTGCAAGGGCCAAGTCATGACAGGTTTTATATGACATACCATGGACATTTTTTTGTTTGCTTGTTTAAAACACACCTGAATTTATTTCTCAGCTCTATGGTTTACTAAGTAATTCTGCTTTTATCTTTAGTATTTTCCTCCCTTTAATTACCTTGGGGTAGCTTTTCTGTTCTTTTTCTACAGTCTTATTAAAGTGAATGCCTATTTTGTTTCTTGGCATTTTTTTAAATAACATAAGTATTTAAAGCTATGTTTTCCCTCTGAATTTAGCTTTGGCTGCACATTGTACGTTTTGATATGTAAAGTTTTCTTTATCATTATTTTATAAATAGTTGGTCATTGAATTTTTTATTTCTCTTTGACCCAGTAAAAGTCTTTTTAGGGGAATATTTAGGCTTAGGAGTTGTTTGTTTTGTTTAAAAGGAATATTGTGTTATGAATTTCTAGTTTTATTTCAGGTGTATAGAGGGACATTGGTTTAATTAAAGTCTGTAGTTTATGTATATTTTATTTTTTAGGATTTACTTTTTATGTGTTCTATGGAATTTTTAAAAGGAGATGTGTGTTCACTTTTTATAGGATACATCTTTTGATATTTTATTAGTTTAGTTGAACCATACACATACACACACATACATTTTAAAATAATGTATATCCATATTTATTTTCAGCCTATGTAACCTATCAGACTGATAATGATGTATCTCTTAATACTTTTTTATTTACATTAACTTCTCCTTCTATTTGTACTTCATCTATTTTGATGTTCTATGATTCAATATATAAAAGCCTTCCTCATTATGGATTGTTTTTTTTTTTTTTTTTTTGGCTGCGGGCAGGCTTTCTTTAGTTGCAGTGAAGGGGGGCTAATCTTTGTTACGGTGCACGGGCTTCTCATCGCGGTGGCTTCTCTTGCTGTGGAGCACGGGCTCTAGGCTCAGGCTTCAGTAGTTGCAGCGCGCAGGCTCAGTACTTGTGACATGCAGGCCCTAGAGGGCACAGGCTTCAGTAGTTGTGGGGCATAGGCTCAGTAGTTGTGGCACAAGGGCTTAGTTGCTCCACGGCATGTGAGATCTTCCCGGACCAGGGATCGAACCTGTGTCCCCTGCATTTGCAGGTGGATTCTCAACCACTGCACCACCAGGGAAGTCCATGGATTGTATTTTTTAAATGAATAAAAGTATCCCCCTTTTAGCCCATTTAATGCTTTTAGTCACAATTTTTATTATTTCTTATATCACTCTTACCATCCCCTACTTTGCACTTACCTAACATAGCTTTGTTTGTGGTTTTTAATGTAAATTTTCTTCGTCTTTTAACTTTTTTACTTAAAATTTTGAATGAATAATGTATCTACGTTTCAACAATTAAAAATACAAGAAAAAAAGATATACAGAGAAAAGCCTCCCTCCATTCTCCATTATTCATCTACCCACTTCCCACTTCTCCCTTCACCCATAAGCTGGAAAGTGGTTTCATTATTTTCTTGTGTATCCTTGAGTTTCTCTGTGCAAATACAAATATTTCTACTTATTTTCCTTTTTTTTTAAACGCAATCCATTTTATTTTTTTATTTTTTTTATTTTTGTGTTTTTGCGGTACACGGGCCTCTCACTGTTGTGGCCTCTCCCGTTGCGGAGCACAGGCTCTGGACACGCAGGCTCAGCGGCCATGGCTCACAGGCCCAGCCGCTCCGCGGCATGTGGGATCTACCCAGACCAGGGCACGAACCCGTGTCCCCTGCATCGGCAGGTGGACTCTCAACCACTGCGCCACCAGGGAAGCCCTAATTTATTTTTATTTATTTATTTTTGGCTGCATTGGGTCTTCGTTGCTGTGTGCGGGCTCTCTCTAGTTATGGTGAGCAGGGGTTGCTCAGCAGTCGTGGTGCAGGGGCTTAGCTGCTCCGCAGCATGTGGGATCCTCCTGGACCAGGACTCGAACCCACATCCCCCACATTGGCAGGTAGACCCTCAACCACTGCACCACCAGGGAAGTCCCTATTTTCCTTTTTTTAAAACACAAACATAACATACACAATACACAGAATCTTGCATTTTATCACTCAATTGTACCTCAGGGATTTTTCTTAATCTTCCTTCTTCAACTTGCACATTGCA